CTCAAAACAAACAGCGAGCAACAGAGCTTAATGTATATGTGCGTGTTAAAACACACGAAAGGACACTTCACTCTGATTAGGCAGAAAAACACAAAGATTTTCTGGCACCAATCAGAAGCCAGAACGACTGCGACCGTTTGGAACTAGTCTTGTAAGACAATGTCCCCAGGGGCTCTTCTGCCCTTAACTTGAAATCGACTAACAGCCCCTGGGTCTCCGAGGATGGCTTTGAAGGTGAATGCTGGAGAATTTGATCGTTGATGCCAGATATATCCTTGATTTGTGTTTCAGGTAAGTACTGGCTAGACCCTAACGGTGGCTGTGCAGAAGATGCCTTCCAAGCCGAATGTAAATTCTCTGCTGGAGGACAAACGTGCATATACCCAAATCAGCTGCAGGTAAGAAGCCTTCACGTTATTAGTTGCGAATTGCGTGGAATTTTAAGAGGATCGGGCAATTCCACCAGACCTGGGGCCCGTTTCTCGAAAGTCCCGATAACTTAACGGACCCGTAAAGCTGTTCTGTTTTCTTTCAAGATGGGGATTTCAAAAGTTTTGAAAATGATTCAATAAAACTATCAGCTAAAGAAACAAAAAAGACTGGTTTGGGTGCCAGAACTACTTTCCTATCCTTTGAATTTTGATTTTAAAACATGGCTTCGGGCCCGTTAAGTTACCGGGACTTTCGAGAAACGTGCCTTAAGAAGGGTGACCGAAGAAAGTAATTCTTCTTTCCCTTCAGCATTTTATCCCCCAAACATCTTTTTGAGCGAAACTGTTAATCTGTGTTTCTGCATTACTAGCACTCTCTTTGGCGATATTTCTAAGTCTCTTCTCCCCACTGGTTTTAGACAATCAATGTTCTGGTGATAACACTTTTTTTCAGTTAACTTTTAAATGTAGTCCTCTCCGCGAAATGTGTTAGTAGAGGGCAATTGATCAGCGAGCAGCGAATGTACAAAAAACAGCCAGTGTTCTTACGACATCCAGGGAAAAAAATTTACATGTGCAACGCGTGATCACGGCGTGCTGTTACCTTTGTTTATCTAGCTGTTTATTTAGCTGTGTACATCATCGGTAAGTCAAAAGCTGATATGTTCTCTTGTACTTTCAGGGTGACAATTCAAAAGAGACCCTCAAGGTATTTACGTGTTGCATCTTAGTATACAAGTGTTATCGTTTAGTAACCAAGGAGTGTTTATTCTTAGGATCAGTTTTGAGTGAAGAACTGTACAGCTTCTGAAGAAAATACTCTGTACGGTTTATTAGCGATTTGCGTGTTTGTTACCACAGTAACTGGCAAGGTCGATGTTGCGCCGTCAAAATTGACTGTCTGTCTGTTTGTTTACTCTGTATTTTTTAGTTCTCCTACGAGGCAAGTTCAACGCAGTTCAAGTTCCTCAGACTTCTAAGCAAGCAAGGTGCCCAAGACGTCTCGCACGAATGCCTCAATAATGTCGATGACCTTACCATATCGAGTTTTAACGGACAAAAGATCACAACAGATCGCCTTCAATGCAAGGTAAAGAAAACTTACTCTACATCTTATGTTTGGAGTCATTAAGGGTAGACAATGATTTACCCTGTTTGCACTGTTAACCATTCACGGAGGAATCTTGTTATCCTGAGTCACTGGAAAGGGTTAGATATATCTAGTGCTAAAAGCCCTCCCAGGAAGCGGGCCCAAATTATGTCGAGGAGCTGAGTTAACGGGAATATTAGATATCCAGGGTAAAATTCACTCCCGGGGAAGCAACCCCAAGCTCGAGCTCTGTAGGATTGGATATAATGAACAGATAGCAGGCATAAAGATAAGTAGGGTTAACTTCACTACCAGGAAAAGGGTCCAAGAAATATCTAGGGCTCAATGGCGTATCTGGGGGCTCGATGGCGTATCTTTTTTTGTTACATTAAGTAAAACACGGCGTGGTAGTCGACATGACAATCTGGTGAGTACCTTCTGTTTGACNNNNCCCCACCTTTGAAAAATTCTGGCTACGCCCTTGGGACTCGAGATAACGGAAGTATTGAATCTCCCCTCTATTTTGTTGGGCGCACGCTTGTGATATCTGAGATCCTTATACATTTATTTATCTCTTTGCAGAGCGGCCAGGACCAAGTTCATTCCATCGACAAAAAAGATTTACTTCCTTTGAAGGACATCTCCACCACACAACAGAAGCCAATCAAATTCCAGCTTGGTCCAGTCTGTTTCCAATAAATTTTCATCTTTAGTTGTTAACTTTATTGCAGTTCTTTGACTCAATATATTCTTAACGAAGAATTGGATACACATCCTTAGCAATTAAGAACATTCTAAGAGAGTGAAATGCTTGAAAAGTTAGGTTGGAAATTTTTTTAGAGATGCTTTCTACCTTTGTTTCTGTTAGTATAAATAAACTGTACCTATTTTATTGTACACGTGTTCGTATTTAGAGAACATTGGGAGTTGTAAACATGTTTAAAAAAACGAATTGTTTCAGCTTTTTTTTTTTCACGCCTGTGGGTGTGTCGAAGAATATTTAGAGGTAGTGTTTAGGCCAAATAAAAGAAGAATAACGAGCACACTAACAGGAGGCGTTTGTAAGGGGTGTGAAATGGCTTCCTCGCTTTTCCAAACATTCGGGTCAGTAGTAGAGAGCGGATCGATTGAGTGGTCGCAACGTCCAACCAGAATGAAGAAAATTTGCAAAAGCAAGCTTCCTGGAAGCCGGAAAATGCGATTGGCTACTTCGCGGTTGTTTTTGTTTTAGCATCTGATGGGATGTGAGGGCGGTACGAGTTTCCTAGACCAATCAGAAAGCGAAGTTAAACAAAAGCACTACAACACAATACATAGCTTATGTAGCGCAACGCTTCTGTCGGCGCTTTACAGTGATAGTGATAGAAAAATATAATCAATTAAGAATTAAAGTGAATTAAAAAACTAGTAAAAAATCAATGAAAGCAAAAACTACAGCTGCCTAAATAAATGGGTTTTAAGTTTAGACTTAAATGTTGTTAAAAGGTACACTTGCCTGATATCATCCGGCAAGGTGTTCCACAGAGTAGGAGCTCTATGACAGAACGCTCTGTATCCATATGTTTTAAGATTGCATTTTAGGTACCATTAAGAGTTTTTTCTTTGAAGATCTTAGGTTTCTATTAGGAATGTACGGTCTTAACAGTTCACTAAGATACAGAGGACTCAGACCATTTAATACTTTCAAAACGAGAAAAAGTATCGTAAAATCAATATGGGCGGACACAGGCAGCCGATGTAGGCTTCCAAGTATAGGCGTAACGTGATCATATCTGGTGGCTGTAAGCAGGCGGGCAGCTGAATTTTGTACAGGTTGTAGTCTATTAATTTGTGACTGCTGTAGGCCAGATAGTAGAACGTTACAATAATCCAAAAACAAAAGCACTACAATACCAGATTACTTTACACCTTCGAAATATTCGTGGAAATTGCTTTGATTGACTCCGTACATTCCCCTCACAGAGTCGTTGGTGTTTGTTGTTTCCTATTCGTGGATCGTTTCTACAGGGTCGACAGAGAACGACTTTTTGCTCGAAGTTCTCACTGTTAAACTAATTCAATGCTGTTCACCGGAAGTAGCGCCCTGTCAGTGCTTGACCTGAACGTAACACCAGGACACGTACAAGTCGATTGTAAGGGAACGACTTCAAGGTTCTTCCTCCTCAATTCGATTTTAAGGGTAAGTCGTCTTCGTTTTCCTTCGCAATTCTGTTTGACAGTACAGGTAGTCATAACTTAGGGCTCGACAAAGGCCAGCGTATTTTGAGTTCGAAAACGATCGACGTGCTGGGCGAATTCTCGAATGATTAATTTGCTCCAAATGATCTTTTTTTTAACACAAGCATCAGAAAGGCAAACGTGGTTTTCCCTATTTTTCTTTTTATACTTAAACATATCCGTTGGTAAGAAAAAAATATATTAAAAAAATAAATGATGTTGTGTCCTGTGGGAATTGGACTCTCAGCCCCTCGCTTTCCAGGGCTACTAGGCAGTCCGTGAAAATCTTATAATAATGCAATGTTTGTCTAAACAAAATAATCTTCCCATTTTTAATTACAGTTCCAGGAAGAACCCCTCAATAATCTTTGTTACATGAAAACTTTTTATCATTGAATAAGCTGTCATGATGCCACTTTAATAAACTTTTTATAAAAGTGTGCGAGTTCTTTTTAAAAGAAAGGTATATATATATAAAAAAGCGATCTTGGGAGGGGTTGAAGTTTGTCCTTGTTTTATTTTCCATTCATTTCGGGCACCGCCGCTCGTTCAATCTTCGCGGGTCGGGTCTGAAAACGTTCTTTTGTCTCCCTCAGCCAGAAGTTTGGGTGTGATATTCGATGACCCTATGTCGTTTAATGCTCATCTGTCCAGTGTTTGTAAGTCGTCGTTCTACCATTTGCGCAACATATCCAAAATCCGCAAGTACTTAAATAAAGAAATAAAGAATCTACTGCCACTATAGTTCATGCGTTTGTTACATCTAAATTGGACTATTGTAACTCACTGTTATTTGGCTTGCCTAAGTATCAGTCACAGAGGTTGCAATATGTCCAGAATACTGCAGCCAGAGTGGTGTGCCAAGGACGTAAATACGACCATATCACACCAATGTTACAGGAATTCCATTGGTTACCTGTCTATTATAGATCTATATTCGAGATTTTACTCATTGTATTGAACTGTCGTAATGATAATACACCAGACTATTTAAGAAAGAAACTCCAGTACAGACAGTACTCCAGATCACTTAGATATGTTTCAAATTTGTTATTGAAAGAACCTAGGTCATATACAAAAACTTATGGGGATAGTGCATTTTAGAACCTGGCCCCAAGACTTTGGAACAGTTTACATTATGACCTACGTAACCTTAACACTGTTGGAAACTTTAAGAAAAGACTGAAAACCTATCTTTTTACTAAATATGTTGACGATTGCCCGTTATTTTAAAGTTTGCCCACAGTTTTACGCATATTAGAATCATATTTACAATAGAATTATATCTATTACTTTATAGTCATTTAGCGTGATATATTGTGGAGCTACTACACTGATGCCTTTCGATTGTCCACACGTCGTACAATAAAAACAAACAACTTAGGCCCGGTTTAAACGTCGCATTTTACATGCGCCGAATCTAATACTAATTTAAGTCGACCTGAATTAAAAAATAAAGGCTGATAGTTTCGAAAGAAACTGTTTGGGGCTGCGTCGGTGGAGGTAACGAAATCATTTGGGAGCGACGAAGGGCTAACGCTCGAAACGTCAGCTTTTGTAATCCTTACGATGGCCAATTTACCATTTCAACTTTGTTGATATATCCAAACTGAATTTAAAAAGTTCGGCATTTAATTTAAACGTCGCATTTAATTGTGCCGAATTTAATTGCCGAGTGCGAGTGACAGCTTCATTCCCAGACTCCACTCTAAGTCCCCCGCCAATATGGCTGACAAAAATTAGGAGGATATTTTGTGTTTTCGGCGTTTATGCCTCTCGAGCATCATTCGCGCTAACAGGAAACGGCGACTTATAATGCAGATGGCAGTGCATCATCTGCTAGCAAGAAGAAGACGGCTTCTGTATGTTTGTTCCCTTGTTATGCTTTTCCCTATCGCAAAGAAATGCCATAGCACGTGTCCCAAGACCGCGATTGATACGTGCCGTCGATTGATACGAAATGAAGGCTGGACTACATATTCTGATGTTCGATTCTTTCCGGATTCCCACCAGTTTTCTTTGCGCACGTCATGTACCATAAAACTGTTGTGTTATGGGTAAAATATAATTAAAGATTCGGCACATGTAAAATGCGGCGTTTAAATCAACTGTCGAACTTCAGTCGCATATTCGACTGAACTCGCATTTAACACAAATCTGCCGAATTTAATTGATTTAAATGTCGAATTTTACATGCACTTAATTCGGCAATTAGATTCGGCGCATGTAAAATGCGACGTTTAAACCGGGCCTAAGTTTATTGAAAGAATGACAGAGTTCGTTTACACGCAGCGATGGTTACTTTTGTAGGTTTCCTTTGTGGTTAGTGGATATAGAAACGATGAATAGAGCGATGAATAAAGCGGTAAATACAGCGGTAAATAGAGCGGTAACGAAAAATCTATGTCCTAACTGTGATATAACGCCTTCGATAGTCCTTTTAAACCATAGAAATGGAGTCCTTGAACACTATTAACCTTAGAAAACTTAACTTAAACATTTAATTAAAAACCTTTCTCGGAAAAACAAACATCATACCGTCTAGCCAGCTTGGTTATCCGGGACCTCCCGGTCCAGATCACCGCGGCAGTAAAGACATTGCGCGTTTCGCTGCATTGTAAAGCGCCTTGAGCACAGGATATGTGCGCTACATAAATAAAATTTATTATTATTATTATTATTATTATTGTGGATTCATAATCGTTTTCAAAGCGGTTTTGCAAAATGAACTCGTTTAAACCAGCCACAGAATTTATAGCGTCACAACACTTTTCTTTAAACCAGCTGCAAAATTTAAAGAGCTACAAGACTTTTACTTAAAATTCTCTTGTGCTTTAGGGGTTACTTCTCAATTTTCCAAATTTTTAGCCCTTGTCACTCACATTACTGCGAGTCTGGCAGCTCTGCCCTTCCCTGTTACTTGGAGGTAGTGGGACTACGTGCGTACTCGTACATGAAGTACACATTTATTACTTTGGTATCCAACTGGTCGCTGTTACTGATTCTGATGGAAAATGGCGAGTGATTATGGCGTTTTTGCAGATCTGCCGTCGGCATCGGACAGTTTTTGGTGCAAGTTACTCTTTGGAATGTTTATTGACAGGAAGAAATTTCTACAGCTCCTGCTTACTAAATCACAACCTACAAATTTCGCCTACTTGTTTAGGTAGGAAAATTATATTCTTGGGTTTCAATCCCCGCGTACAGACTGTAGTCGTGGTCGTTCACGTGTTGGCAGCTCGATTGCTCATTACGTTACCATTACTGACTAGTTTGTGCCAATCTAAACAGTGTGAATTAAATTTTAAGGGGCTGGAGGCTTGCCGTGGAGCTAAGCAAACTGATTTTGTGTAACAGAAGAATTTAATCAGAATAGGCATAATATCGTGTCAATCGCACGTGTTAGTTCGATCATACCGTGACACGTTGTACATCGCTTGCTTTGCGACTACGTTATGATTACAGGTATCACATTATGTATTTTTGGATTCGAGAGTTTTCTTCCGTTCCCGGGTTTTTTTTTTTTATAGTGGATTGGTTGTAAGTCTGCGCTATATAAATGTAAAAATGTAAATGTAAAATGTAATTTCTTTGAGTTGTTATTCAACGACTTGAATGGCAATTGTATATGCCGGCCAACGATAATAATCGGCATTTAACCCTCCACGTATACATAGATTTTACATTTTTAACCACAGTATCGTTGAGAGGTTCGTAGTTCCTCAAGCAAAAAAAACATTAGTTGATATGGATGTCTGTAGTTGCTTGTATGGTGTGGTATTATGCTTGGTACGTTTAACCCTTGCTCTGTCTCCTGTTGTTCATTGCAGCTAAAAGTAACTTGAAGAACACTTTGTTGAGACGGGGGTCAAGTAATCAGCCATTCATTTACCTGTTTACTACTCAAGCATATCCTCTTCGACAACAAAATGCCATCCAAATTACAAATTATGTGTCTTCCACTGACAGTAAGTCAACATCACAAGCTAAGAAGAAAATTAAAGTGACAGAAAATAATGCAAAGAAAAGGAATGTGAAGAAAAGTGAGGCTGTAAAAATAGTGAATGACACTGTGAAATCAAATGAAGATGAGAACATGATCAAGGAAATCAGTAATGAAGTGAAAAATCAGCTGAGTTCAGCTTCAAAATTAACATTGCCTTTAATGAAAAAAAGTAAGGGAAAAGAGAGTAGCAAAGCAAAATCAAGAAGACAAAGTACTGAGATTGTTTGGCCAAATGCGAGTAAAGATGACATTAGCTCAAAAAGGAAATTGGATCAAGTTTCAGTTACAAATCAAAAAGGAAAGCTCCATGTAACAAACAAGACTAAAGCAAAGAAGAAATCTGATCCATCAAAAACAATTGTGGACACAAAGATCTCTCCAATGAGTGGTTTCATTAGTGATAATGAAACTCACTCGTTAGATTATAGTCCAGAGGCTGTTTTAATCGAAGCAGAGGAACATTTCCATGAACAAAGCAAATTTGGGGACATTGATAGCAGTCTTGATCAGCATGTATGCGATGTGGAAGTGCAGAGAGATGTGGCAAAGCCTCTCTCTGAAAATGCATCCGGACAATACTTTGAAGGACCTGCAAAATATAAAGATGGGACTCCAGGGGGACGATTGTTTAAAGAAGAGACTTTGGCGGAAATGGATGCATATCTTTACCTCAGAAAAGTAAGTTGTCAACCAGAGTCTTTCTTTTATCAACAAGAGAACACAAGTGGCAATGCAATTGTAATTTCAATAGTATAAATGTTTTTTTTGTTTTTTTGCTGATGGAGACTGAAAGGCCTAGTGCCTACCATGCTGAACACCAGTTTGGGAGGTGTGGGTCAAGACCAGGCTGAGGTCAGAGGTCATGGTATAGTATTTGCGGGCAAGATACTTAAATCTCACAATGCCTATCTCCACCCAGGGGTATAGAGTAAATGGATACCATAGACTTGTCAAAAAAACTTGATGATATATTATGATTAGGAGGTAATAAAAGATTCACCAGCATCCCATCCATCTCTGAATTTGCTGTTCTACTTTGCTTGCTTGCCTAAGGGTAGGCTGTGTCTTTGTTGTCAAGGTGATATCCTTGCTATTGAGGAGACTTCTGTCACTTCATTGTGCCTCTACAATACCCACCTTCCAGTGCTACTGAACAAGTGTTGCAATCAAAGATACACAGAGTTAAATTGAGTCAGAACTGACTGATTCATTATTTTATGAATAGCAGGGAATATTGTGTGGGTGAAAGTCAAGTTTTGATGTGGTTTGTTCGACAACAAGGGACAAAAACCTGGTATAGGAACCTAATTTTATTATTCCCACCAGTTCCCTAAACTCCAAAGTTGTATCCACAGTTCTGGTGCAATTAGAAAGCTTACTATACTGTCAGTTTTTGTCTTATGAATTAACTGGTTGGTCAGGTGAAAATGCTCTCAGTTGGCTTGTTAGCTCAATTGGTAGAGCGCTGCACAAGTATTGCAGAGGTCAGTGGATTGAATCCCGTACAGGCCTGAATTTTTTTTAGATCTGATTTTCACTATTGCTTAAATAGTGCTCTCTACTGCGAGGATCGTGCACAAATATGAAACTGTTGTGCAAGTAGGTGTCTTATCCCTCTAACTCCCAAGACCTGACTGTCAAGTCTCCCCTCTAGTTGCTACACATTTCAAGAATAACCTCTACCTGACAGATTTGAGTTTTCTCATTACCCGTTTGCTGGATTATATATGGATATTATAATGAGAAGTTACATGTTAATCATTTGTGGGAGTTAAAGGGTTCAACTGTGCCTACTGATCATTCCAGAAGGTATATTTAAGGGTAAGATGAAAAATATCACAGCACACTACACAATCTATGCATACCATTAGTTTTTTTTTTTTTTTTGGCATAAAATAAAATTGATTATCAAGAAGGCTTCATTATACATGGATGTACTGACAAGTGTTCTTTTCACTTTCTAGCCTAAGGAAGCAGAGAAGTTGTTCAACAGATATCTGCGAATGGGTAAACAATTTGAAGTGGACACTTTCAATAAATTGCTTCATGGTTGGGCTCAGAAAGGCAACATCATGAGCACCAAGTTTTTGTGGGATTTATTAAACAATGAAGGACTAGAACCTGACATGGGAACATATGCTGCATTACTACATGGCTATGGGAAACAGAGTGATAAAGAAGGAGTGCAAAACATTCTTGATGAAATGAAGCGAAAGGTTTGCAATACAAATAATGCTTTACAGTATCTGTACTTTATTTTGTGTAGACATTCATGAAAGTACTCAGCAGAAATTGCTATTGCTGTTATTTCCGGCTTTACTTTTAGGGGCCAGTCATAATTATGTTAGATGACAACAAAAGCTGAGCTGTAGGATTATTGATGTTGATGAATTTATTATTAGCAAACTTTTGATTATGATACTTTGCAGGAATTTGATGTCAATAATATATTCATACAATGCTGTCTGACAGCGCCTGAAGCCAAGGGAGTTTCCAATGCTATAAAACTTGTGAATCCTCACTTCAGACCAGTTGTTAAGGAAGCACATAATCAGATCAGATACCCATCTCTGTTAAAATCATGGTATTCCGACAGGGAGAACTTGGATATTAAACTGAAAAGTGTCCCTGGAAAACTTGAAAGAGAACTAGATGAATCCAGACTTCAAGAACTCTTTGAGGAACAAATATCAAGGGAACTTTCAGGATTCACACCGATTATGTCAATTGAAGACAATGAGGAGCAGAACAAGGAAAACCAAAAGCTGAAGGAAATGTTTTTGGCGTGTCGTAGCAAGTGGAAGGAAGCCCTCATTAGGACCTTTGAGAATGAAATGTACAAAACCCGATACACAAGAGGTAAGATGAGAGTATACTTTCAGACTTTTGTTTGTATTTACACACATGTACACTGAAGCCAAATTGGTATTATATTTCATGCTTTTTGTAGTCAAGTTATATGGGAAACTAACCTATGCTCTATAGCTGCTGACTTTTGGTCTTTCCTCCACTTCTACTTTATACTGAGATGAAAAGAGCTAAAGCTGGTCCATCTTACTCCCTTGACACCCTAACATCAGTATGCATACAATGTATTCTCCTCAGACTCCTTATATTATAAATATGGTATCACAATAATGTCGTTACTGACAAGTTACCAACAGATAAGCAACAGATTACCAACTGTTGGCCATCTGTTGGCAAATGGGTCTGCCTGAAACTGTTGGTCAACTGTTGGCCATCTGTTGGTCTGTTGGCCGACAGGTTTCTTCAGGCAGCTCCTTTTCACACACTCTGTTCTCTATACATGCACATTTCCTAAGACAGAGAGGATTTGTTCAATAATCCTGAGCCTCTTGGTAATCATTTCCTTTAACCTTTTGACCTTGATATGTTATTCCAGGGTGATATTGTAGGGAAAGATTAGATACTAGTCACTCATAGAAGACAAAGGGTTAAAAGTTTACCGAGTCTTTTAATTGGTACGCAGTGTTGAAATTTGATGACTGATGATCAAACTAAAGCTTCAACTTTTAATTAGCATTGTAGGTACACACTTGTAGACCATTGGTTTGCTCAAGATTTATTATGTTTCCACAGGGAATCGCATTCCTCCAAAGCATGCTTCTTTCTTTCAAGTCTTTGAACCTGATGAGCTTGCCGACATCATTTTGGACACCATTGTGTTTTACGTGAAAGGACGCATTGAAGGGGTGCCTTTGTATGGTATCAGTGGGGAATTAGGTTCTGCTCTCAATACAAAATACATTGTGAAACACAGAGTGCAATCAGGGATGTTAGACAAGGTACATTGTATATTTACTTTTTATGTCAGTGGAGTGGCCACCTTACAGACCTGTAGGCCTGAGGCCTAGCATTTTTTTCTGTTTGCTTGACTTTTGTAGGAAAATTCATTACTTGATGAGGAAATTTTGCATTCAATTGCACACAAAAACCGATATAGCGCGAATCGCGAAGCGATGAGTGCAGTATCGGAATTTTTGAGTCGTGTAATGGATTTTCCTTGAATTGCATGATTGAATTAAAACAAGAAAAAAGAGAAAACAACATTACTTATAGTTGTTATGTATACATAGCTGCAATGTGGCAATTTCTCTTGTTTCTTTACAGCATTTTCTAGCTTCAACATTCGATGATAATCCTTACTAAATAATTGTAAAAAAATGAGGGGATTTGGAAAACATGAAGTGTTTCACAATACTACAGGGTGGCTTGTCTTCAAGATGTTTTTAAGAGAAGCAGAATAGCATGAATTAATCAGGTTTTTTTTAATGTACTATTTTTTTTCTGTCAGATGAAAGCCATATATCTTGACTACTTCTCATATTTAATGGATGAAAAAGTCATGGCAACAAAGATGGCGCGCGAGTTTTGGAATGAGATGGATGATTTGTTACCACTGGGAGGGTCATTGGAACAGGATGTTCCAAACTGGCCTTGGGCAGCAAAAGTTGTGGTAAGCACATGCAACACATTTCATCAAGCTCTTAGAATTTTGACACAGTTGTAGTAGCCTTCTTTTTTTCTGCACAAGACGAGGGCAAATGTACTGTTTATGTAGCTGGCATTTTTGAAGAAGAAAATGTCATCAATCTCTGGTGGCATCACTGTTTTGTGTTCTTGTTCAAGACACTTCAGCTGAATACAGTACTGTTCTTGTTCAATTAAAAAGTGCCCCCCCCCTCTCCACCTTGAGCCCCAATAGCAAATACACATAGATGGAGATGGAAAAAAACTCAACACTACTCAGAGGATATTGAGTTGGAAAGAAACAGCTATACATGTACAGAAATTTAGCATCCTAAGACTTTTACCACTGATTGTTGATCTCACACACTTAGAAAAACAACATACCTAGCAACTTCATTCTGCATATCTGGAAACCAGGACAAAATGTAGTTTTGTAGCTATAGGACATGATGCTACCGCTATTCTCTACTCAACTGTGTGAAAAGTGTTTGAAAAGTTGGGAGTGAGTCATTTTGCCAACTTTTTTGCATCTTTATTCAAGATTGAAATCTAGGTTTGATTTAATGAGACTCGGTACCTGACTTGACCCTCAATCTTTGTTATTTCTTAATCCTTTACACCCCAACTAAACATCAGTGTCCATATTCTCCATACTCTTCCTCCGGCCCTGGCCGGACCAACACTCAGGGTCTTAAAATAACTGAGGAGAATGTGCTACCTTTCTATAACATCAAGAAATGGATAGAAATTCTAGTCTTCTCAGATAAGGAGGAATAAACTGGAGGTCCCATCTCCTGCATCTATTTATTAGTTAATCTGGTTAGGCAGGGGACGTTAAAGAACCCACTCACGAGATTACTATGATGTGGTCTGGCCTGCTTACTGGGAATTGGGGGGAGGGGGCATCTGTTAGATTCTCCTATAATCGATTGTAAACTGCTTGGCAGTCTGGTAAAGTCCCCCGTACTGTGTTGTAAAGCGCCATGAGCTCAGGATATGAGCGCTATATAAATAAAAGTCATTATTATTTTTATTATTATTATTAGACATTTTCTTTGGTACTGACAAGGAGAATTTGTTTAACAATTAAAGCTTCTTAGGTTGACAATCATTTCCTTTACTCTCATGGTCTTTGTAAATAATTCAGCAGTATTACTGTGAAGAGAAATCAAATGCTGGTCACTTCTAGGGTTGAAGGCTAAAGGTAAGGTTATCATCAAGTGTACTGTAGATATGTGATCTCTATTACTGACAGCATCAAATATTTTGGTTATTTCTTCAGTTTGGTTGTTCACTGGTAGAATGCTTCCTGAAGACAGCTCAAATCAATGTAAATCTCTTCAACAATGGTCCTGAGAAGATGCTGCCAGCTTTTTATCACACTTATGAATTTAAAATGGACAAGAGGTATGGTGTGTTGAAACCTCATCCAATAGTCTGCAAATTGTTCAAAGGGTATCTGGCCAAGCAGGGGGAGATTTCCATGGAAACAACCTCGGTACCAATGCTAGTGCCACCTCGGCCCTGGCGAGCTACAAAGGATGGGGCATATCTCATTTTACCAGGTTTGAAAGATAGTTTAGATACTCCTAGAGACTAAACAGTATGATTTTGAGACTTAAAACGTTTCTTTTTAAAAAAACTCTTTTGTAGTTACTTTTAGACTGTTTCTTTTTAGGAGTTGTAATTAAGATTTTTACTGGTGTTGTTAAGCTCCTTTGAACATTATTATACTGGTGCTATATACATATAAACCTTTTATGATTATCATTATTATCGATAATTCAGAAACAAAAAAACATTTTACAACTATTATGAGCATTGTTTTAAGTACAGTGAAATCATTATGATTACCGGTAAGTAGGTATTCTGTATCAAGAAGACAATAACTGAAGTGCCCAATGTTTTCAAATATTTGCTCCGAAATGAACCTGTGTTCAACAGACAAACTCAACTGAGCAAACGAGGGAGCCAAAATTCACTTGTGCGCCACCTTTGTATTTATAGAAGGGGGAGCATTGCGTGACATCCAAAATAATGGCTGCGGAAGAGACTATTAAACGATCAGTTTAAGTCAGGCTTAGTCTCCTTTACAGGTCTTTACAGCCTTTGTTTGGTCTCGTCACGCAACCGCTCTTTTCCCCACCAGGGAGAGAACGCGTTGTGTTACAAGACTAAACAACGGATAAGGCGGAAACTAAGTCAGTCCTGGCCACAGTTGATTTGTCTGTTTGAAGATAACGATGGAAAAAATTGATATAGTTTTTGTTGTTTCACAGTTGAGCTCATTCGCAGCACCGGCGATGAAGATGGTCAATACGACAAACTTTTAGAAGAAAAAACAAACAAGGAAGATTTGGTGGCCATATTTGACTCACTGAATTTTCTTGGAGGATGTGCTTGGAGAACAAACAAAAGAATCTTAGACCTTGCCATCCACATATTCAACAACGGCGGAAGTGAGAACTTAGCAGTACCGGGGCCTGTTATTCAACCGGAAGTGGATTTCATATCATCCAAGTGAGTGTTGGTTCATGGCCAAGTTGTTCATGATATGTTCAAGTTAGCCTTGGCTTAAGTGTAAATTCTAATTCAGTTTCACGTAGCTTTAAAGACAGGTTTACTGTTTACATGGTTTTTAACTTTCCTTAGTTTTGCCAGAGATAAAACATTGAGATACTTTTAGTAAAACTGAATACACCTTTGCCATAATGGCGGCGGCCGAGTGAAGACTAAAACTAGTACATGGGGACGAGACCACCCGGGCATGGATTTGTGCACTTGTGAGCGCTTGTCAAAAAGTTTCTGGCACAATTTATTAATCGATCCAAATAGATTTATTTCTCAAAGAATCGACAACTAATATAGCTAAGGCTCAAGTTAATATGTACAATGCCATGCCACTGCTGTGTTCCTTCATGGACTACGAGGGGATATCGCGACGTAAACGGTTAATAAATATCCTACTTCAAGCTTCCCAAAGAAAAACTCGCGAGAAAGCAATGGCTTCATGCAATCCGTCGAGAGGAAGGAAAAAGCTTCAAAGTCTTGGACTCAACCATGGTCTGCTCGCACCATTTTAAAATGGAAGACTTGAAGAAAAGTATTGCGGGCAAAATATGCCTTCAAACCAATGCTGTACCTTCGGTATTTCAGTGG